GCGGAAGACTCTGCTGTTGGGTTCGCGTTCCCATTCTTGGGCCTCTCTCGGGACCGTCTTGGGGCCCTCTCGGGCCGTCTTGGGCGCCTCAAGTACCGTCTCGGGGCCTCGTGGGCCGTCTTGGGGCCCTCATGGAGGTCTCTTCGGCTATCGTGGAGCGGTCTTGGGAACCTCTTGGGCCGTTTTGGAGCGTCGGGATGCCACAAGGCTGCAGCAATCGAAGGGAAATCCGTGATTTTGGCTTCTTGGGGCCATTTCGGGAGCGCGGGCCATCCGGAGGGCATCCTTGGCGTGCGAGAACGATAAATCCGCGATAGTAGGCCTCCTGGAGGCCTCTCGCATAGTAGGCCTCCTGGAGGCCTCTCGCAGCCTTTGTCATCTGCGTTGGGGCTGTGTTGGGCGGTCTGGAAGTGTCCCTGGCGCCCCGACACCCCCATGGCGCGTCGGGTCCCCCCCGCCTCGGTCCATTGGGCCGTCATGGGCTTCTCGCGGCCCGTCTTGGAGCTCTTTTGGGGGCCTCTTAGGCCGTCTTGGGAACCCCTTGGGCCGTCTTGGACGCGATGACAGCCCAACAGGCGAACATACGGAAAAAAATATGTTTTCCCACAGGAATGGGACGATTTTTGCTTCTTGGAGCTCTCTTGGGGTGCCTCTTGGAGCGTCTTGGGGTGTTTGGGGGGGCCTTCCGGGCGCTTCTTGGCGACTTCTCGGCGCCTCCTGGAGCCACTTGGGGTCGAAAGCTTGGAATTCGATGGTGGCTTTCTCCTCTGGGGCCATCTCGGGCCCGTCTTGGGGACTCTCTTGGGCCGTCTCGGGCCATTCGTGGGCCGTTCTGGAGCTTTCTGGGGCTGGATTGGGGCCCTATTGGGGCGTCTTGGGGCGGTCTTGGGAGCGGTCTTGGGAGCTTCTGAGGTCGTCAAGCACGGACCGACAGCGAAAACAAGCAATATGTTAAATATGTACGTTTTACGAAGGGAATGGGGCTATGTTGGCCCCTTGGGGCTCTCTTTGGGGCCCTATTAAGGGTCGCTTGGGGTGTCTTGGGGGCTTCTGAAGCCGCCTTGGAGGCCATGTTGGGCGTCTGGAAGCGACTTTCGGGCGTCCCGGGTCTGTTCTGGAGCCTCTTGGGGCCTCCTCGGTGCCTTTCTGGCGGTCTTCTGTGAGGCCCCGGGGCCCCCCGAGGGCCCCAGAGCCCACATTTGCGGTAGCGGCGCCGGCCCCGGGCGCCCGGACCCTGTGCGCCGCTATATACATAGACATATATATATATATATACACACACACATACATACATACATACATACATACATACATACATACATACATACATACATACATACATACATACATACATACATACATGCATGCATACAAACATACATGCATGCATACAGACATACGTACATACATACATACATACATACATATATACATACATACATACATACATACATACATACATACATACATACATACATGCAAACATACATGCATACATACATACAAACAAACATACATACATACATACATACACACCTACATACATACATGCATACAGACATACATACATAGATACATACATCCTCACCGGGCGCCAGTGCAAAGGCACGCGCGGGCAGGAAGCGTGCTCCCAGTCGTCGTCGCCTGCCTGCGCGGCGCCAGCGATGAGAAACTCTGGCACGCTGAACGAGGACTCCGCGACTTCTGGCGGCAGCTTGTTGTATATCGAAACCAGCCCAAGCAGCGAATGTGTGATAAATTCGGCAGGACCAAAATTGGGAAAAACAAAATCGCTCCATTGCCCGTTGGAATACTCGATAAGCTGCGAACGATGTATCCCCAGCTGTTCAACTCGAACGATAAGCTGCGAACGATAAGCTGCGAACTGCTTGAAATGCCCCGGACCCTTCCCCAGGACAAATCGGTGAATCAGGCCGAGCATCGCCATGTCCCGTCTTGAAGACAATGGCACAAGCTTAAGCGCCAAGAGTGCCTCTGTTGAACTGATCCCTGCGGCCTCTGTCAGCTTGTCTTGGGCGTGGTCCAAAGCCTCCAGTGCTGACTTGCAGGCGTGATAGACTGCAGCAAACCGGTACTCGATGAAGGACAGAACCTGCGCTTTGTACAGCAGGACCAACTGCGCTCCAGCATTGCAATTCCGAGTCCTCAAAATCGCTTTCAGCTTCCACCAGCGATCCTTCGCTAACTGGAACACAAAGTCGGTCATGGTGAGCTTCGTACCGAAGTGCACACCCAATCAATCAAATGCTTCCCCATATGGGTGAGATCTGGATGAAATGTGTTTGGGTTCCTTGCTGGGATCAGAAGAAACTTGGTTCGCCTTGCCCCAACGATGGAGCTTACATTGGCAGGCGCCCATGTCGCCGAGAATTGCGGTCTGGCGGGCTGCGCCCCCGCACAAACGGAACGCGTTAAGGTCATCAGCGAAAACAATCTCTGTAAATTGTAATGTTCTGATCGGCTCTGCAGAATCAGCGTGAAACATATTCCGCAACATCGGTCCCCAGACGGTGCCCTGGAACACCATGTTGTCCAGCAGAAGTTCGATCGACTTGCAGCCCTCCACCACAACATGGGCTCTGCGGGCGCCAATCCACGACCAGAAAAGCTGCAAAACTTCCAGCGGCGCCCCTCTCGCTGGAACGCTGACAGCCAGGACAGAAGGAGGAATGCCAAAGCGTCCCGGGCGCCCCTGCCGCGACTGCAAGCAAACTGATTACGGCCAATACTCGACTCTGACATGAAGGCAGGGCAGAAGACTGGCCGCAGGAATCTCTCGATGACCTTGGCAAGCTGCGCAGTGGAATGCACGCCCCGGTAAATCTTGGGATCGAACGCCGCCTCCTTCTTATATCTTACAACAATCGAATGGATGCCCCAAGTTGCTCGCCGCACACCCGGGGAAAGAATCGCCACGCCCGGCAAACACACAGGAAGCGCAAGCGTGGCAGAACATCTCTTCAATACTCGTCGGCATCAAATCCGGGCCGGTGGCGCGTCCTCCCAGGGAGCACGCAATACGGACTCGGCACCCTCTGCGCCGAATGCCGCCGCCGGGCCCGTGTCCCACGTCGCCTCCACAGAACGAATACACGAATACTCGTTATACTCTCGATCAAGTAAATGAAATTTGTCGCTGAAGGTCTGAGCCAAAACATTCGTTTTCCCAGTCGGGTCCCTGACCCACTCTCCACTGGGCTGTCTCACTGCTGGGATAGCGCTCAGTCGTGCCCTCTGGAGTTTTAGTTGCTGTTCTTTCCTCCGCCAGTGTTTTGACCCCTTCTGCATTGAAGTGAGTTCGTCCTTCATTTCACCACACCAGTGGTTGCACTCCTCAACAATGGTGTCGCTGCACTTCATAGCAAATTCGACCTCCAGAGCAGTACCCTCCGCTTTTCGCTTGACCTCCACAGCTTGGATCACCCGATCGTTCAACCATGGACGCGTCGATTTCTCTTCGGTTATCCACTTTGTCTGGATATACAGCCTAGTACAATCTAGAATGTACGCAGTCATCTGGACAGCGCCGCCTGCTGGGTCAACGCGAGACAAAAAATCCAGTCCACGCTCGCAAAAACTACGTTGAGTCCGCGCCAGTCCGCGCCACGGAGGCGCCACGCTTCCCTTCGAACACGATGTGCCCGAGGAAACGGCAACGACGAGACAAGCTCAACGACGTTGTGGTCGGCAATTTTCGGCAGCACTACGGTCTTCAGGCCGTCAATGTCCGCGAGCGCCAAATCAAGCAAATGCGGCCCACGGTTTGGGGCACGGACTACCTGACGCAATCCCTTACCAGCGGTCGCAGTTCTTCCCCCTCTGGAGGCGCATGTGGAGAAAATCGGAACCACGATTTGTGACGCACATTCAAGTCACCCAGCAACACCGCTCCCATGGACCCCGCGCTCAACGCAGCACGTTCTTCAGCGCAACTCGCTATGCTGCAAGTTCCACTGCCTGGTGGCCTGCACCATGCCCCAATTCAGACAAAAAAAAAAAAAACAAAAAAAAAACTCGCGCTGCGTGTAAAGCACACCACGGCCTTTCCGTCGCAGTTGATTTGCTCGCGCACGTTATCTGGGCTGAAATTGCACGAACTGCGAACATGATGATACCTCCCCTGCTGCTGCCGTCAGTCCTGTCTCGGCGCGCCACCTCTAGATAGCTAGATAGCCCTCAAGATCAACGCAAGCAACAATTTGACCTTAAAAACATTCCGCGACACAAATAACGCGTAGCTTCCTGTCGCCGATCCGCGCCGGGCGGTCAACTCGGCAAGAGAACTGCGCAAGCCCTGTATATTGACCAACCAAAAAAACAAATTCCACATCGTAAAACGCAGAATTGAAAAGACAAGCACTCCCCCCGCACTCTGCGCCTGCTCCGCGCTTGACCCGCTCCAGACCAGGGGAATCAGCTGATGCGTCCAGGGCCAACTTCACCACAAAACCCCTGACGTCGCAGAATGGTGACCGGCACAACATCTCCGCTCACGGACGCGCACTTGCCGCGACCTCCCCCGCCGCTCCCCTTTGACCCCTACCCTTCGGCGCACAGCTGGTCGAACCTATCCTTGAAATCGAGCGCCCGGATGTGCATCGAACCGTTCCTCCACTCCCCCACTCTCTGCTCCCTCCACCAGACGACACCCTTTCTGCAGTTCGCGTCGATGTGCTGTTTGGTTACGTTCCCGTTCCCGCCGTTGGCCTCAATGATGGCGCTTACTAGCTTCCTGACTGCCCTCGCCCGCCTCCCATCCTCCGAACCTGGATCCAGCCTCCTCGAGTCCGCGTTGCAGAAAATCCTCTTGCCGTTGTACGCGTTCGCATGGTTGCCCGAGTTGTTCTTCAAGTGGCCCCACACCCAGCCCCCCGCTCCGCGAACTTCTTACCGTAAGCAACCCCTCCAAATACTTCACGATGTCGGCCGCCTTCGTGTCCTTCGGAAACAGCCCGAAGCCGACGGTCCTGCTGCGCTTCTCCTCCGCCTCCCCATCCTTCCTCCTAGTGGCCTTATCTGCAGTCGATTCCGCAGCCCGCGACGGCCACTGCGGCTGCGACTGTTCCTTTAAAGCCTTGAACTCGGCCTCCAGCACGTCCAACTTCTTCAAGGCTGGTCTCATGTCCTGGACCTGCTTTCCCGGCTCCCGGACCTCGGCATCCGCCTTGATGGCCATTGCTTTCGCCTCGTTGATATGAGCCGTGACGTTCTCAATACGGCGCGTGGTGTGCTGCATGAGGTTCCTTTTGCGTAGCGATCGCCCAAGGTGGCATACCCAGCACCTCCTCCACCTCCAACTCCTGCTTGCCCTTCTTCCTGTCTGGCGATTGCCCCACTGCACCCGATTCCTCACGATCGTCAAACATATCTTCGCTACAGCTCTGCTCGACAGCACGCGCGAACGCAATACTTGGAGCAAAAACGTTGACTTGGACCCAAGACGTTTACTTGGAGCCAAAACGTTCATTTGAGCCAAAACGTTGACTTGAGCCAAAACGTGTACTTGAGCATCATCTTCTTCTTCCTCCTCCTCCTGCACGCCATCCACGAGTTCCCGACCGTGACTTTGCGAAGCGCGCCCCGCGATGCGCGGCGCGCGGCTCACCTTGGCGCCCTCGCGCACCCGCGCCGCCACCTCAGAGGAGGGGAGCAGCTCTGGCCCAGACCGCAACGCGCGCAGCGCGGCTATCCTCGCGCCCAAGGGGGGCGAGCTACGGCCTAAAACTTTTGCTTAGCGGGTCGCGGTGGCGGCCCCGGAGTCCACGCTATGCGTGTCGCTCCGCTCCGCGGAGCGGGAGGCTCGGACTCGGGACGTTGAAGCCTAGGGACTGGGAAGCAATTAGCGTGTCGAGCCGAAGCGTGATGGGCCAGAACCAGCGGCACGACACGCCAAACCAACATTCCTGACCGTAGCTCCTCCTAACGTTGCCCTGGCTTTCAAGCCATCACTCGGCTCTCTGGCGACCGCTCGGGGCGAGTCCGGCACCCCCAGAACGCCAGAGAAGACACCTCCTGGAAGGCACCCCGAGGCTGGAAAGCCGCCGAAAACCGACGAAAATGGCCGAAAACCTCAAACCTCGAAGCGCGGCACGATACGCCAAACCAAAGTTCCTGACCGTGGCTGGCCACCGGTCGGCCATGCGTCTGGTCTTCCAGTCAGCCTGGCTTCTGCGGCCCGGCGTCCAGCTTCTCCAGCTCCGCAACGGCCCCGCGTCCGGCCCCCGCGAGCGAGGCTGCGGGCTCCACCTCGTCGTGCCTGTCGGGATGGGCGCGGTAGCAGTACACCAGCCAGCCTGGGAGAGGACCCAACCCCCACCTCGGCCTCCGCCTCCGCCTCCGCCTCCTCCTCCTCCTCCTCCTCCTCCTCCTCCACCTCCTCCTCCTCCTCCTCCTCCTCCTCCTCCTCCTCCTCCTCCTCCTCCTCCTCCTCCTCCTCCTCCTCCTCCTGCCTCCTCCTCCTCCTCCTCCTCCTCCTCCTCCTCCTCCTCCTCCTCCTCCTCCTCCTCCTCCTCCCCTAGCGCCAGCTCGGCCCAGGACCCCATCGGGCCTTGCGAGCCCGCGCCGCCGGCGCCCCCCGCGCCGCCTCTTCCTCTTCGCCCTTTCCTCCCCATGCCGCCGCCATGGCACGTGGCGCGCGCTGCTGATGGGCGGCCTGCCCGACCTCGCCAGTCCGCGGCGGAGTGGCGCGCCCAGGCCGATCGGGCCCAGGCGCGCGCCGCCCAGGCACTGCTGCGGGCCTTTCGGGGCCTTCAGCACCGCGGCTGCCGCGCGACGCGGCTCGGCGCCGCCTTAGTTCGCTGAGGCTTCTCGCGCTGCTGCTGGTACCCCTGGTCGGGATGGCCCTGCGGGTGGTGTCGGCGCTGGTGTTCCTGATGCGGATCGCGGTGATGCAGCCGTTCCTGGCCATCAAGGTGCTCAGCTTCGGGCTCCTCCTGATGTCTGTAGCGCTCCAGCTGATCAACGTGCAGCTGCTCATGGTCCTCAGGGAGGTGCTGTCCAGCGTCCCCATTGTGCATGTACCTCCTCAACGCCCTGTTGATGAGGGTGCTCATGCTGGTCCTGCTCGGGCTCTACCTGCTGAGGGTCCAGCTCGTGTTGTTCACGAGGCTCATGCCGGGCCTGCTCGTGCTGTTCGTGCCAGGGCAAGCCAGTCCAGGAACAGCAACCGTGGTCGACGTCGGCTTCCAGTGGCACTCCTGCTGGAGAAGCCGGCCTCGACGCTGGCGCAGTTCAGCGCTACGGGCCTCCTTGTCGTGAATGCGTTCGTGCGCAGCGGTGTGCTACCGAGCCTGTGCTATGCCGTACGTGCGCCCGCCGGCGCGTGCGCCGCGGGAGTGGCGAGGGCAAGGGCAAGGACCTAAGGACCTCGGCCTCCTCCGCCCCCCGCCTTCCCTCGCTTATGATTTCTTCCCTCCCTCAGCCCCCTCCCTCGTAGCGCCGGCGAAGGAGATGGGGCGGTGGAGGTAGGACGAGAATGAGGATGTGGATGCAATTCGAATCACTTGGCAGTACAATCTTCCGTGTGGCCGCTAGCTTGATAGCTTGCCCGCCCGTGCCTTGCCGCGCGCGGTTGGAGCCACTGGGATGGCCCGTCTGCTCGAGGTCAGGGTTGTCTGGCATGGAAAGTTGGCGTGGTAGGGCCCTGCTTCGGTCATTGTCGCAGGGTCTCCACCACCCCCGCCCTCCGTTGCTGAACAGCCCCAGCCTTGTCCTCCGAAGTGTTCAATCCAATCCCCCCCCCCCTCCTCCTCCTCCTCCTCCTCCTCCTCCTCCTCCTCATCATCCGCCTCCTGCTCCTCCTCCTCCTACTCCTTCTCCTCCTCCCCTCCTCGCCTCCTCCTCCTCTTCCTCCTCCTCCTGGTCTTATGTTTCATTTCTCATTATTGTGTTTCTTATTATCATGCTTATTGATACTACTGTTCTCATTAATGTTGTTAGTATTATTCTGCTTAGTATACATGTTATTGTTAGTAATAGCATTAGCAGTCGTATTATTCGCCTTCTTAGTATTATTGTTATTCGTATGAGTATTCGTAGCATTACTAATATCAGTACTAGTAGTCTTACTCTTCTTCTTAATAATACCACTATTCTTCTTAATCAGATTAGTATGTTTCGTCTTCTTATTATGCTTATTATTATTCCTCCTCCTCCTCCTCCTCCGCCGCCTCCTCCTCCTCCGCCTCCTCCTCGTGAAACAATCACGGCAGGCGTTTTTTGCAGTGCTCAGCCTCCAGGGGCCCTCGCCAGGCCCCAGGACAATCAGAAAACGACTCGGGATGAAAAATACAATTCTGGGGAAGGGGGCGAGGCCTCCAGGAGTCCACCTTGCGAAAATGAACCCCGCACGACCCGAATTAGGCGAAAGTTTCCTATTGCATGGGCGCAGTGCTTGGCATTGCTTGGCATTGCTTGGATTGTATTGTGTGTGCGTATGTACGTAGCACCCCGCAGTGGCGGATAAGAGTGAGGGGCGGCGGGGACGTCGGCAGGTGTTTAATTTCTACGAATTGTACAACGAGCCCGCTGCAGGCGCGTTTTTTCGTTAAAGCAATGTGGGTGGGTCGGGGGGTGGGTCGCAAGTGGGTCGCGGGTGGGTCGCAGGTGGGTCGCAGACCGGGTCGCGGGTGGGTCGCGGGTGGGTCGCGGGTGGGTCGCGGGCGGGTCGCGGGCGGGTCGCGGGCGGGTCGCGGGCTGGGTCGCGGAAGGATCGCGGGTGGGTCGCGGGATGGGTCGCGGGGTGGGTCCCGGGTGGGTCGCGGGCCGGGTCGCGGGGGGGACGACGCCAAACATCAACAACAACAACAACAACAACAATTACTAGCACGTGGGGACACACCGTTCTCACCAGTGCCAGGGTTTTCATAGGAGGCGGGCAATACCCCCACTTTGTGGGGGGGCCGGTTCAAGCTCTACCAAATTTCCAAACGACTCTTCGCCACCACCCACACCCAGCTTCCCGCCCTATGACGTTCGGACACTTCACTTCGTGGCATGCGGACGACCGTGGCTACTATTCAGGGCCCCGCGGCCGACGACGACGGCGTGCGCGCGCGAAGAAAAAACGAATGTGTCCCGCATGGTATTATTTGACAGGGATGATGGCCCTGGCAGGTGCGCAACCGTTGTTGCAGAAGTTCGAAAAAGTTGCTCGCAAAAGCCCGTTTGACAGAAATGTTTAAAAAGTGTTGGGTTTCCTACGAATCCGCAAGAGCGCGCGGGATGAGATTTTGACATTTTTTGTTGAAAAACCATTGGTTTTTTGATGTTTTTATGTTAAAATCGCTACGAAAACTAAGGTTTTGGAAGGATTTCGTCTTGCGCGCGCGAATGTCCACTTTACCTTATTTTTTGCAAGGGATTCTTGAAGTTTGGTTATGTTAGAACAAGAAATGTCCACTTTAGCTTATTTTTTGCAAGGGAAAGCGGGCGTCAACAAAACAACCGGATCTGGATCACATCGTTTTACCTGAGAACTTCCTCACGAAAATGATGAAAATGTGGCTGCGGCCTAGGCGCGGCGGGGGGGGCGCGCACCAGGGGCCCCAACAATAATTATTCTTTAGAAGTAATAATGTTCAACAACAACAACAACAACAACAAAAACAACAACAACAACAAACAAGCAAGCATGCAAGCAAACAAACAAACAAACAGAAAGACAGAAAAACCAGCAAACAACAAACAAACAAGCAAACAACAAACAACAATAATCCGCATCAGGGAATTACACTTCGGCCACACACCCAGAGACAGTGAATGACCGCTCGGTCTCCTCACTCTGATGTATGTAAGGATGGATGGATGGATGGATGCTTGTATGTATGTTTGTCTGTAGGTAAGTATGTATGTATGCATGTATGCCATGCAGACGCGCATACATGTATATGTGTATGTATGTATGTGTGTATGCATGCATGCATGCATGTCTGTCTGTCTGTCTGTCTCTGTCTCTGTCTGTCTGTCTGTCAGTCAGTCTGTCTCTCTGTCTGTCTGTCTCTCTGTCTCTCTCTCTCTCTCTCTCTCTCTCTCTATATATATATGTCTGTCTGTGTGTATGCATGTATGCATGCATGTATGTATGTGTGTATGCAGAAATACATGGATGTATGCAAGTAGGTATGTAGAAATGCATGGGTGGTTGTATGCATGTACGCATGAATGTGTGTATACATGTATGTATGCATGTTTGTGCGTATGTATGTAGGTATGTATGTGTGTGCGCGTGTAGGTGTGTATGCATGTATGCACGCATACATACATATATGTATGTATGCGTGTGTGTCGGTATGTGAGCATGGATATGCTCATGCTGGTATGTATGTATGTGGACGTGTCTACGCAGGTGTGTGTATGTGCGCACGTGTATGTGTGTATGTGTGTATGTTTGTGTGCATGTGTGTCTGTGTGTATGTCTGTATGTATGGGTGTATGTATATACGTATGTATGTGGGTAAGTAGGTACGCATGTATGGATGCATGAATGTATGTAAGTGTAGATGTGCACGTACGTATGTGCGTACGTACGTAGGTGTGTATGTGTGCGTGCATGTATGCATGCATGCATGATTGTGCATACGTACGTATCTATGTAGGTAGGTGGGTAGGTAGGTAGGTACGTACGTGCGTATGTGTGTACCCGTGCATGCATGTATGTGCGTATGTGTATGTATGTATGTGTGTATGCGCGTGCCTGTATGGATGTGTGTACGACACGCGTGCGTGTACGGATGTATGTATGTATGTGTCCATGTATGTATGAATGCATGCATGCACGCATGTACAAATGTGTGTATATGCATGTGTGTATGGATGTTTGTTTGTGTGTATGTATGCATGTATGCATGTATGTATATATACACATGTGTGTATGTATGTATGTGTATGTATGTATGTTTATGTAGGTGTGCATGTGTGCATGTTTGTACGCATGCATGCATGCATGTATGTATGTATGTGTGCAGGTCTGTATGTATGTGTACGGATGGATGGATGTATGTAAGTAGGGTGTATGTATGTAAGGATGTGTGTATGGATGTATGTATGCATGTATGCATGCATGTATGTGTGTATGTGTATGTGTGTACGTATGTTTGTGCATGTGTGTATGCTTGTGTGCATGTGTGTACGCATGTATGTATGAATGCATGTATGTATGTATGCATGTGTATACATGTCTGTATGCATTATGCATGTATGTATGGATGCATGTATGTATGTATATGTGTATACGTGTATGTATGTATGGTTGTATGTATGTATGTATGTATGTACGTATGTATGTATGTATGTGTGTACGTATGTTTGTTTGTTTGTATGTATGTATGTATGTATTTATGTATGTATGTGGGGGAACGGGCAATCGAGGGCGGGGAACCCGAGGGACGAGCCCGAGGACCCTCCAGGAAACGGGCAAACTATATACAATAGGAGGCATCCGGGGCGGGGAACCCGAGGAACCCGGGGAACCCGAGGAATCTCTGGAAAATGGGCAGAGTAGCATTAGGAGGTACCAACCTTCAACCGAGTAAGAACCCCCAAATTGGGGAATGAACCCGAGAAACCTGGGGAACCTGGAGAACCCGAAGAACACGGGGAACACGGGGAACCCGGGAAACCGAGGAACCCAGGGAACCTCCGGGCAACACGCCACGGGCAGCGTAAGAATCGGAGGCACCGGGGGCGAGGAACCCGGGGAACCCGAGGTTAACCCAGGGAACCTCCAGGCAACGGGCAACGAAAGAATCCGAGGCACCAACCTTTAACCAGGTAAGAGCCCCCTGGGCAAGCCGAGTTGGGGGAAGAGAACGACCCTCGGAGTTCTGAAAGACGGGCCCTGGGCGCGCCGCTGGATCCTTTCGCAGACGGCACTCCCTCGCCACTGCCCCTTTGGCATCCCCCGAGCAGCCGCCAAGGTGCCTCACCTCGACGCCCGCCCGCGGCGGGCCCACGAGCAGCGCGTCCAGCGCCGCGATGCCCACCCCGAAGATGTAGATGCCGACCTGCTGGAAGACGTGGGCGCAGGGAAGAACTCTTTGCGTCGGCGGCGAGGCAGGGGCCGTCTGCGCTTGCGGAAAGGCCTAGACGGGGGTGCCGTGACAGCGAATGCGCAGGGAAGAACAGGAGGAGCAGGGAGGAGCAGGGAAGAGCAGGGAGGAACAGGAGCAGCAGGACAAAGGATGAGGAAACGACGACGAGGAGGGGGACGAGGAGTAGGTCGGGCTTCAAAAGATACCCCAAAGATGGTGAGCAACTGCGTCTGTTTACTATCTTGATTACTCTTCCTGTCGAGAGAAATGCCCGACTCAAGACGAGGAGGGAGAAGCGGACCTGCTCTGGCCAGGCCGAGGGCCCGCCGCCTGTGCGGCCAGAGAGCGGGTAGCCCGCCCCGTCCTTGCTCCTCCCGCCACCTCTTGTGCATGTCATGTGTTACTCTTCAGGGATTCCCCTTCTTCATTGATGGGTAAGAAAGTAAGCGGACCTGCTCGAAGACATGGATGCAAATGTGGAGCCACGGGAAGCCCCACCACCTGTGCACAGGGGGGCTCCTGCGCACCACCGCCACCACGACTGCCTGCCCAGGGCCAGCCCAGGCCCTGGCACGCTGCGCACGCCTTCCCCGCCGGGGCCAGGAGGGTCGGTGCACTCCTCCTCCTCCTCCTCCTCCTCCTCCTCCTCCTCCTCCTCCTCCTGATCCTCCTCCTACTCCTCCTCCTCCTCCTCCTCCTCCTCCTCCTCCTCCTCCTCCTCCTCCTCCTCCCTCCTCCTCCTCCTCCCTCCTCCTCCTCCTCCTCCTCCTCCTCCCTCCTCCTCCTCCTCCTCCTCCTCCTCCTCCCTCCTCCTCCTCCCTCCTCCTCCTCCTCCTCCTCCTCATCCCTCCCTCCTCCTCCTCCTCCTCCTCCTCCTCCTCCTCGTCATCTCCTCCTGCTCCTTCTCCTCCTCCTCCGCCTCCCCCTCATCCTCCTCATCATCCTGCTCATCCTGCTTATCCTCCTCCTCCTCCTCCTACTCCTCCTCCTCCTCCTCCTCATCCTCCTCCTCCTCCTCGAGAACGGGGGATTGTGGAGTCCCTGTGGTTCCAAAGCGCGCGCGCGAGGCTTTCGCGCTGAGTTCGCGACTGTGTCTGTGCAAACTCTGCTCTGTGTCGTCCTCCTCCTCCTCCTCCTCCTCCTCCTCCTCCTCCGCCTCCTCCTCCTCCTCATCCCTCTCCCCCTCCTCCTACCCCTCTGCCTTTTTTTTTCTCCTGGCATCCCCCCCAGATGTTTTTTTTTCTGGGGGGGGACGCCAGGAGAAAAAAAAAGAAAAGAATGCGACGTGGCCACATCTGCCCTCCCCCCTAGAAGGATTCCTATTGAACGCCCCCACAAGAAGGATTCACTGTGAAATCCTCGACAGAAGGGTTCCTATCAAAACACTCCACTGAAATCCTCCACATGTGGATTCCTACTGAAACCCTCCACTGAATGATTCCTACTGGAATCCTCGAATGGCAATGGCAATGGCAATGGCAATGGTAATGGTAATGGTAATGGTAATGGTAATGACAGTGGTAATGGTAATGGTAATGGTAATGATAATGGTAATGGTTACGGTAATGATAGTGGTAACGGGGTAGCGAGGCAATGACAATGGCAATGGCGACGGTAATGGTAATGGTAATGGCAATGGAAATGGCAATGGGAATGGCAATGCCACTGGCAATGGCAATGGCAATGGTAATGTCCATGGCAATGGTAATGGTAAGGGTAAAGGTAAAGGTAGAGGTAAAGGTAATGGTAATGGTAATGGTAATGGCAATGGCAATGGCAGTGGTAATGGTAATGGTAATGGGAATGGGAATGGGAGTGGGATGGGAACGTGAACGGGAATGGAAATGATAGTGGCAGTGGTAATGGTAATGGCATTGGTAATGGTAATGGTAATGGTAATGGTAATGGTAATGGTAATGGTAATGGAAATGGTAATGGTATTGGGAATGGGAATGGGAATGAGAATGGGAATTCTAATGGTAATGGCAGCGGTAATGGTAATGGTAATGGTAATGGTAATGGGAATGGGAATGGGAATGGGAATGGGAATGGGATTGGGAATGGAATGGGAATGGGAATGGGAATGGGAATGGGAATGGGAATGGGAATGGAAATATTACTGACAATGGTAATGGTAGTGGCGAATGGCAATGGCAATGGCAATGGCAATGGCAATGGCAATGGCAATGGTAATGGTAATGGTAATGGTAATGGTAATGGTAATGGTAATGGTAATGGTAATGGTAATGGTAATGGTAATGGTAATGGTAATGGTAATGGTAATGGTAATGGTAATGGTAATGGTAATGGTAATGGTAATGGTAATGGTAATGGTAATGGTAATGGTAATGGTAATGGTAATAATGGTAATGGTAACGGAGGTAATGGTAATGGTACTGGTAATGGTAATGGTAACGGTAATGGTAATGGTAACGGGGTAGCGATTCGCAATGGCAATGACAATGACAATGGCAACGGTAATGGTAATGGCAATGGCAATGGGATTGGCAATGGCAATGGCAATGACAATGATAATTGCCATGGCAATGGCAACGGCAATGGTAAGTGTAATGGTATTGGCAATGGTAGTGGGAATGGGAACGGGAATGGGAATGTGAATGGGAATGGAAATGGGAACGGGAACGGGAATGGAAATGGTAGTGGTAGTGGTAACGGAAATGGGAATGATAAGGGTAAGGGTAAAGGTAAAGGTAGAGGTAAATGTGATGGTAATGGCAATGGTAATGGTAATGGTAATGGTAATGGTAATGGTAATGGTAATGGTAATGGTAATGGTAATGGTAATGGTAATGGTAATGGTAATGGTAATGGTAATGGTAATGGTAATGGTAATGGTAATGGTAATGGTAATGGGTAATGGTAATGGTAATGGTAATGGTAATGGTAATGGTAATGGTAATGGTAATGGTAATGGTAATGGTAATGGTAATGGTAATGGTAATGGTAATGGTAGCGGTAATGGTAATAGTAATGGAAATGGAAATGAAAATGGTAATGGTAATGGTAATGGTCATGGGAATGGAAATGGCAATGGAAATGGCACTGGCAATGGTAATGGTAGTGGCTAATGGCAAGGACAATGGCAATGCGAATGGTAATGGCAATGACAGGGGTAATGGTAATGGTACTGGTAATGGTAGCGGTAATGATAGTGGTGACGGGGTAGCGACTGGCAATGGCAATGGCAATGACAATGGCAACGGTAATGGTAATGGCAATGGCAATGGCAATGGGAATGGCAATGGCAATGGTAACGGCCACGGCAATGGCAATGGCAATGGTAATGGTAATGGTAATGGTAATATGAATGGGAATGGGAACGGGAATGGGAATGTGAATGGGAATGGGAATGGGAATGGGAATGGGAGCGGGAATGGAAATGGCAGTGGTAGTGGTAACGGAAATGTGAATGGTAAGGGTAAGGGTAAAAGTAAAGGTAGAGGTAAATGTAATGGTAATGGTAATGGTAATGGTAATGGCAATGGCAGTTGTAATGGGAATGGTAATGGTATTGGGAATGGGAATGTGAATCGAAGTGGTAATGGTACTGGCAATGGTAATGGTAGTGGCGAATGGCAATGGCAATGGCAATGGTAACGGTAATGGTAGTGGCGAATGGCAATGGTAATGGTAGTGGCGAATGGCAATGGCAATGGCAATGGTAATGGTAATGGCAATGACAGTGGTAATGGTAATGGTACTGGGAATGGTAATGGTGACGGCAACGGTAATGGTAATGGTTATGGCAATGGTAACGGGGTAGCGACTGGCAATGGCAATGGCAACAACGATGGCAATGGTAATGGCAATGGCAATGGGAATGGCAACGGCAATGGCAATGGCGATAGCCATGGCCATGGCAATGGTAATGGTAATGGTCATGGTGATGGTAATGGTAATGGTAATGGTAATGGTAATGGTAATGGTAATGGTAATGGTAATGGTAATGGTAATGGTAATGGTAATGGTAATGGTAATGGTAATGGTAATGGTAATGGTAATGGTAATGGTAATGGTAATGGTAATGGTAATGGTAATGGTAATGGTAATGGTAATGGTAATGGTAATGGTAATGGTAATGGTAATGGTAATGGTAATGGTAATGGTAATGGTAATGGTAATGGTAATGGTAATGGTAATGGTAATGGTAATGGTAATGGTAATGGTAATGGTAATGGTAATGGTAATGGTAATGGTAATGGTAATGGTAATGGCAATGGTACTGGGGATGGGGATGGGAATTGGAATGGGAATGGGAATCGTAGTGGTAATTGGAACGGGAACGGGAATGGAAATGGTAGTGGTAGTGGTAATGAGAATGGCAATGGTAATGGTAATGGTAATGGAAATGGTACTGGTAACGGTAATGGTAATGGCAATGGTGATGGGAATGGGAATTGTAATGGTGATGGCAGCGATAATGGTAATGGTAATGGTAATGGTAATGGTAATGGTAATGGTAATGGTAATGGTAATGGTAATGGCAATGGTGTTCGTAATGCTAATGGTAATGGCAATGGCAATGGTAGTGGCTAATGGTAATGGTAATGGGAATGGTAATGGGAATGGTAATGGTAACGGTAATGGTAATGGTAACGGGGTGGCGACTGGCAATGGCAATACAATGGCAATGGCAACGGCACTGGTAATGGCAATGGCAATGGCAATGGGAATGGCAATGGCAATGACAATGGCAATTGTAATGGCCATGGTAATGGTAATGGTAATGGTAAAGGTAAAGATAAAGGTAAAGGTAATGGTAATGGTAATGCGAATGGGAATGGGAATGGGGATGGGAATAGTAATGGTAATGGTATTGGGAATGGGAATGGGAATGGAATGGGAATGGGAGTGGGAGAGATTGAGAGAGAGAGAGAGAGAAAGCGAGAGAGGAAATATCAGAATAATGATGAGGAGCAACGTGAAAGATCGTAAAAATCGTCTGAAAAAACACAGGGACTCCACAATCCCCTCCTCCTCCTCCTCCTCCTCCTCCTCCTCCTCCTCCTCTTCCTCCTCTTCCTCTTCCTCATCCTCCTCCTCCGCCGCCTCCTCATCATCATCAGCAGCAGCAACATCATCATTATCATCGTCATCATCATCATTCTCAGCAGCAGCATCATCCTCATCAGCATCATCATCATAAGCATGAGCATCATCATCAGCATCATCATCAGCAGCAGCATCATCATCACCATCACCATCATCCTCATCATCATCATCATCATCATCATCATCATCAGCATCATCATCATCACCACCACCACCACCACCATCATCATCATCATCAGCATCATCATCATCATCAGCAGCAGCATCATCATCATCCTACTCCTCCTGTTCCTCCTGCTCATCGTGCTCCTCCTCATCCTCATCATCCTCCTGATCCTCCTCATCATCATCATCGTCGTCATCATCATCATGATCATCATGATCATCATCATCATCATCAGCAGCAGCAGCATCATCATCATCCTACTCCTCCTGTTCCTCCTGCTCATCGCGCTCCTTCTCATCCTCATCATCCTCCTCCTCATCATCATCATCATCGTCGTCGTCGTCACCATCATCATCAATCATCATCATCATCATCATCATCAACATCATCATCATCATCATCATCATCATCATCATCATCATCAGCATCAGCATCATCAGCATCATCATCATCATAATCCGCCCTTGGGCCCAGGATGGCCCTGGCCAGGCATGGCGGTGGTGTGTCGAGGCCTTCTTCGGAACCTGGGCAGGAAGCCGTACTCAAAGCCGACGCTGCACTCGACGAAAGACAACAGCATCGCGGCGCTGAGCAGGGCTCCCGCCTTGCGTACCAAGCGAAACACCTCCAGCTCGGCCGCGCTGCCAGCGAGCTCGGACTTCCGCACAAGCATTGCGGCCAGGGCGGTGGCTAGGAAGACGCCTGGCGACTGCACAATGAAGAGCGTCCACACGCCTCCGTTCGCCTTCAGAGCGTACGGCAGTGTACATACGACGGAAATCAGAGCGGCCTCGGCAACAAACACAATGGAACCCCGCACGAAGACGCTGTGAAGAACCTGGTGCACCACGTTGCTGAACTCGGCGAATGTGAGCAAGGCGTTGCTCATGACACTAATAACGGTGGTGGAAAAGACAGCCTTCTGCAGCGTCAGGTGCGCGGAGAAGGCCAGCGAATACATCACGAAGACGACCGCGTAGATGCGCAGCACCCTCCCGCTGTAGCCGTACTTGAGGCCCAGGCGCAGGAGCAGAGAGCCTGCGACCGGAACGGTCGTGAGCACGCTCCAAAACTCGCCGATCGCCGCGCTGACCGCGTAGTTCGGCTCCGGATGGTCCCAGGCCGACGGCAGGGTGCCCCAGTAGTTCGCCCCCTGCCCGCGCTGCGGGGCGACCGCCGAGGCCCGGCAGTGCAGGGCCAGGAGCACGCCACCGTACACCGCGATGCAGGGGACTCTCGCCGCCAGGCCCCCGTGCCTCCCCAGAGCTGCCCTCGCGTCGCAAGCAAAGGGCTCTGGGGGCCTGGCCCGCTTCGGCCTCGAGGGGGGCCCTTGCCGCTCCCCTGGGAGCGCCAAGAGGCGGCCGAGGCTGGAAGGCTGGCCCCGGGGAGGGGAGCGAGGCCTCCGGGGCCCACGTTGCGAAGAAGGGCACGACGTCGCTCGTCATGGGTCTCTCCCGCCCACCCGTCTGGGAGGACGCCGACTGTTCGCCTGGGGCGCGTTCGTCAGGGCGTGCATCCCCACCTCTCACCCCTTTCCACGCCGATCTGGCATCTTTTGCTTTGGCGCAGCACATCGACGCCACAGGTGCAACGAGGCGTCTCTCGAGCCGGGAACCCACCCAGCCCTCTCCAAAAACCCTGACCCCCCCCCCCCCCGCCCGGAAATAACACAAGCACAAACTTGAAGGACATCTTTCGCCACCGCTGGTTGGCTTCCACCTGTGGAGCCGCCCTCGTTTCTGCTTCCGCCGCATTGCGCGGGCCCTGGGCCAGCTTCCGCTGGCGGCGAGAAACCAATTCGGTTCCTCGAGTACAAGGTCCTCTCTGGGACCCCCCCAACCTGGCCACAACACTCCCCCACTTCTGACTTTGAGGGGCAACTTGGTCATGGTGGAAGCCTGCCCTGGACCCCGGGGCTTTCCCCAAAACCAGCGCCTCATTCCGAGTCGTACTCTGACCGGCGAAGAACCCGAGAGGCCCGAGAGAGACGGGCGAAAAGCGACAGGGGGGGTCGCCGTTAGGGCTCCCCCCGGAAATCCCGAACGCGCAGAAAAACTCGCGAACTCATCTCCTCCAGCGCACCCCTCACAACGCGAACGGCAGTTTGCGCGAGCTGTTCCGCCGTGCCGCGGTGGCTGCCAGGGGCAGTGAGACTTCAGCACGGAGAGGTCTCTGCGGTTCCGCAATCACGAAGGCGAGCGCCCCAAAAAAACGGCATAAACACGAACCTCTGGAGGTCGGCGCGGATTTCTTGGACCTGCGCTGGAACCCCCCTCCCTTGCTCGCGAAGCGCGCCAGGGGCGGCGCCGGAGGCGCCACCAGGGGGCCCGGTGCCGATCCAGGAAATCCGCGCAGAACTCAAAAGGGGTTATGTTCATGCCGTTTCTCGTCTTCGAGGTAAGACAGAAGCCAGGGCGAGGATAAATTCGGGTGAGGACAAGTCGGGAATATTTGAGATCTGGCGGCTCTGGGGGATGTTTCGGGCGCCGCGGCCTTCTCAGATCGTTCTGGAACGCTCTAAGAGCGTTCCGAAACGCTCTGGGACGCATCTATCCCCGTCCCAGCCCCGTCCGATCCCCCCCTGCTCCGCCCAGCCACGACGACGCTGAAATCGGTCGTCGGTCGTCGTCGTGGCCGCCGTCGTCGTCGTCGTCGCTGTCATCAGCGTCGGTCGTCGTCGTGGTCGCCGCCGCCGCCGTCGTGGCTGCCGTCGTCGTCATCGCTGTCGTCGTCGTCGGTCGTCGTCGTCGTCGGTCGTCGTCGTCATCGTCGTCGTCGTCGTGCGTCGTCGTCGTCGTCGTCGTCGTCGTCGGTCGTCGGTCGTCGGTCGTCGTTCGTCGGTCGTCGGTCGTCGGTCGTCGGTCGTCGGTCGTCGTCGTCGTCGTCTTCGTCGTCGTCGTCGGTCGGTCGGTCGGTCGGTCGGTCGGTCGGTCGGTCGGTGGGTCGGTGGGTCGGTCGGTCGGTCGGTCGGTCGGTCGCCGTCGTCGCCGTCCCAGCCCCGCCCGACGAAGCGCACCCCTCCCCTGGGCGGGGTGCAGACACGCCCTGGGGGGAGGCCGAGGCCGGGAGGGCGCGCGCACGGCACGACATCCTGCGGCCTGCGAGGAAGTCTCGGCCTCGCGGCTCGAGGCGTTCGGGCGTGCTCGTCGGTCCTCGGCGGCGTTCCGGCCCCAGGGTGCTCACCAGCAGCTGCGCCGCGTTCGGAGGGTGCCCGGACCGCCAGAGACCCGAGATGTGACCCAGGAGCCAGATTCGGCGGCGAGCGAGGGGGGAAGTGAGAAGCAGAAGGCCTTCTCAGAGGGCGGCAGGGCTTCTCGGAAGCCCTCGCACCTTCTGAGAGGTGCTCTGTGTCTTCGGGGAGGGCTTAGGGAACTTCTCAGAAGGCTGGGAGCCTTCCGAACCTTCTTAGAAGGCTCGCCCCTTCTCACTTCCCCCCTGGGCTCGCCGCCGATTTAAGGAACCCAAGAATCTCTTGGGGTCCTCTAAGGCAATATTGGAGGGACTCCCCCCGGGGCTCGCAGAGCCCCAGGGGGATCCCCCATAATAGCGTTGTGCAGCGGCGGCGGCGGCGGACGCCAACCGCGGTGTTCTCGAGACCGGCGAGCATTTCAAGCAGATGACACTCTGTCAGAGCATGAAATACCGGCGCGTGTGTGCGTGTGCGTGTGCGTGTGCGTGTGCGTGTGCGTGTGCGTGTGCGTGTGCGTGTGCGTGTGCGTGTGTGTGTGTGTGTATGTGTGTGTGCCCTCCCTCGTTTATCAGCACGAGCGCACAGACGCTGCATCTTTGAGTCTGGGCACGAGGCCTTTGTGGATCATTCCCTCATGGCCAGGCCCATCACTGGCCCAGGAGTGGTGCACGCGCCCTCCAGGCTTGGCCAGGGAGGCTCGAAGCCGCTCAGCATAGCAGGGGTACAGCGGGGGTCGTGCGAAGTCCCCGCCGAGCTCGCACAAGTCACTGCCCAGTACTTCGGCATAGCTTTTGCAGCGAACATTTCATCACCATCATCACCATCAGTATCATCATCAGCAGCAGCATCATCAGCAGCAGCATCATCACACGTTGCTTCTGGGCCCTGGGCTGGGCCTGGCCGTGGGCAGTGGATGCGAGTTGGGGATCTTCTGACCTGGGTCAATCCAGACTCGGGTCAGTCAGGCCTTGCAGGATCCTGCAAGATCCTGCACCCAAGCCCAGGTCAATGCGAAGGATCCTGCAAGCTCCTGCAGGATCCTGCACCCAAACCCAGGTCAATGCGACCCTGGCCCTGCAGGATCCTGCAAGATCGGGCGCTCTGGCTGACCCCCGTTTGCATTGACCCCCGTCTCGAGGCTCCCCAGCGAGCATGGCTCTCGGCGCCCCGGAGCCACGCCCGCGCGGCGGGAGTCCCCGGGATGGCTCCGGCAGCCGTCGCCAAGACCTCCGCCCCGGTCAGCCGGCCGGCGGCCGCGCGGCCGCGCCCCTCCGCCATGCGGCCCGCGGGCGGGTCTCTCTCTCCCTCTCTCCTGCGGAGGGGCCCCGCCTCTGGGCCAGGGATCGACCCGAACAGTGCCTCTTTTTGTGTCGCTCCCGTGCTGGCTTCGTGTCTCCTTTTGCCTCGTCTCCCATCCGCCTGTTTTTTTTTCCTTGCTGCACAGCGAGGCCGAAGCGACGACGGCCCGCGAGAGATCGCCAAGACGCCGTTCGGGTCGAGCCCCGTGCCGGGCCTCGCCGCGTCCGGGCGGACGGCGCCCGCGCGGAGTGCGCCTCCGCGACCAGCCCCGCCGAGGGCCTGCCCCGCCGAGAGGAGGGGGGCCCAGCGACTGTTGCCCGCGAGCTTGCCCGCGAGGGCCCACTGACTGCGAGCCCGACGAGCGACGAGTGTCGTCGTCGTCGTCGTCGTTGTCGTCGTCGCTTGAAGCTCGTCGCGCGAGCCCCCCAAGGGAGGACGTTTTTTGTTGCCCGCGAGGGCCCAGTGACTGTGCCACACATCCTTGGCAGGGCTGGACCTGAAGGTTGTTGCTCGTTTTGTTGCCGTTTTTGCTGTTCGTCGTGCTCGACCTGTTTTCCTGCACCTCCCTCCCAGAACCCCCAAAAAAACAAGGCACAGCCGAGGTCCAGCAAAAAACAGCGCTTGGGTCCAGCCCTGCAATGTCCTTGACGCCTGGGAGAGAGCCCAGCACCACAAAGAGCAGCGAGAGCGCAGCGAGGCCCTCCGACTGGCTGCTCACGGGT